TGCATTTAAGCGCCCCAAGTAGACATGGCCAAAGAATGAACCTCTCCACAAGATGCTCTAGTACAGATGCCAAAGGTACAGGACAAAGAAACAATGCTAAAGTCAGCAATGGGGAAACATCAAATATATCAGTACAGCATCAGATCGCTCCAAAGAAACCTAAAAGCCAGGAAAGCATGGAATGATATATTCCAAGCCCCAGAAGTAAATAACGGCCAATCAAGAATGCTATATCCAGCAAAGTTATCTTATAAAATTGACAAAGAAATAAAAACATTTCAAGACAAGCACAAATTGAAGGGATTCATGGCCATCAAGCCAGCACTGCAGAAGATACATGAAGGAACCATAAGCACAGAGGAGGGACACAGTGTCAACTGTGAGACAACAGGAAAGAATAAATACCACAAGAAGAACAGATGAACCAAGGAGAGCTGGGAAAGACTCTATCAGGTCCACACAGTAAACCAAAAAACCTCTGGTACCAGAAGAAAGGAAAGAAAAGAACAAATGATGATCCCACCAACCAGAAAAACAACCAACAAAAGTATAATAGCAAACGTCTTTCAGTAACAACCTTATATGTAGCTTCAACTCACCAACAAACAGACACAGACTGGCTGTGGTGGTTCAAATGAGAAGCGTCCCCCTAGGGCCCAGGTATTTGAACACTCGGTCAGTTGGCGGCAGTTTTGGGAGGGTCATGGAATCCCTAGGTGGTACGGTCTTGCTGGAGGAAGCACATCACTGGGGGTGGGCTTGGAGAGTTCATAGCCCTGCTCTACTTCCAGGGAAGCACTTCCGTTTTCTGAAGTGCTTGGAGATGTAAGTGTTCAGCTGTCTGTTCTGGCTGCCTCTGCCAACATGCCTCCCTGTCATGCGGGACTCTCATCCCTCTGGAACTGTAAGCCAAATAAACTCTTCTATAAGTTGCAGGGCTCACGGTGCTTTATCACAGCAACAGAAAAGTAACTACTATACTGATTGACCAGATTGAAAATCTAGGTCCAATCACCAATTTTCTCTGAGGAATGTATCTTACTGGTAAAGATACTGAACACTAAAGGACAGAGGTCAATAAACCATAAAAACAAGCAGAACCAGCTTCCCTCACATATATCTGATAAAGTAGACTTCAAGTGAAAACTAGTCAGAAGAGATAAAGAAAGCCACTACATATTACTAAATGGAGCAATCCATCAGGAAGATGTAACACTTGTAAATATACACACACCAACTTTGGGGCTCCCATTCCCAAAAACAAACACTGGTGACCATGAAATGCTCAGTCAGTTCTGCTACAATAATATTGCTACAAAACAACTCGTCATCAGTAATGTATCAATCAAATGGGTTTAGCAGACATTTACAAATATTCCATGACACACAGTCTCCTCAGCAATCTGTACAACCCTATCTAAAATAGGTCTTATTTTGGGCCATAGAACTAGTCATAATGAATACAAAGAAACTGAAATAATTTCTTGTATCTTACCAGATCATAACTATCATGATAAAACTAGAAATTGAATGAAATAACTATAGAAACTATACCAAAAAATGAGAATAAACAAACCTTTAAGTAATAAAAAAGATCAGAGAGGATATTTTTAAACTTCCTAGGATCAAATGAAAATAAAAACGCAACTTATCAGAAACTTTAAGATACAGAAAAGGCAGCTAGCTATAAGAGGAAAATTATACCTATGAATGCTTACATTAAAAAGTCAGAACCGGGCTGGAGAGATGGCTCAGCAGTTAAGAGCACTGACTGCCCTTGCAGAGGACCCGGGTTCAGTTCCTAGTACCCACATGGTGGCTACAAACCGTCCTTAACTCCAATTCCAGGGGAATCTGAAGCCCTCTTCTGACCTCCGTGGCATTGTGCGACATGGGTGTACTCACATACATGCAGGCAATACACTCATACACATAAAATAAAAATAATAAATAAAATAATAAAAACAAAAGTCAGAACCACAAGCCAGACAAAAATTCCAGCATAGAGGTGGGAGGTGGGTATGAATTCCCAACCCTAACCAAGGAGCTATTGGCATGTGATAGCTGCTGGAAGATGAAGAGTCAGGTTTTATTTTTTTTAACTTTTTAAAAAATTCTTATTTATTGTATTTATTTTATGTATATGCGTGTATTGCCTGCATGTAGGTAAGTGCACCCATGTCGTGCAATGCCCGCAGA